CGCAATCCCTCCCTGTCGTCGTCGAACGTCGTCGCCGACGCCGACGCCGTCGTCGTCGTCGGGCGTCGTCGACGTCGTCGCCCGCCATCCCCTCCCCCTTCCCCAAACCCCCTTCCTCGCCCCTCCTTATTCCTCCGCCTCCCATTCCTCCCCTCGGTCCCTCCTCTCCCTCGCAAGCTATGCATGTATTCCTCGATCATCTGTCTCACTCCTCCCACTCTCTCGGTCCTTCTCCATGTTCATCGCTGCACTCACGTTAAACAGCCATCCACCCTATCATTCCATACTTTCCATCACTAACTACCTATGCGGACTTGCATTGTATACTACTCAGGCCCGAATATACCGACCAATAACCCTATCACCGTTTTGTCCCGCCTGCGTCGCACACCACCCCCAAACAACGCCCCCCCCCCCCCCCTCTAAGCCACACCAATCGAATTCACATTTCCTCCACGCGTCGGGGTACTGCCAGAACACACACCATCCACATCCCCCTTCCCCCACCCCTCTACCATCAACGCCGACCCACCCGCGCGAGTGCCAATGTCGGGGAACGTGGGCGGGCACCTCAACACTGGCGTATACAATAATTGGGAAGGGGCGGGGGGCTCGAATGGTCGACCTTGCACTCAGACTAGACATATCGGGAATAATGAATGGCTGGGGCATTGAAGAAAGAAACCGAAAACGGCGACAACTATGTATACATATACATTATACCATTGAGGAAGGACAGATGGAACGCTCAACAACAAGTAAATACATTACCAGTGGCGGAGGGGGGATATAAATTCGTGGCCGAGAACGCCAGCTGCAGCAACGAAACAAAATGAGTGGTGGGGAAGGGATTGAAAGAGCGCCGATAAGGGCAGAGGGGAGAGCGCGGTGCGAGGGATAGGTCATGCGCGCACGCGACGGTCCATGGATGGGCAGGGAATCGAGGCCGACAAGCCGCGGAAAAGCAAATCTACAAGCCTGCGGGCTGGGGGCGGTGGAGGGGGGGGGGTCGGGGCGCGGCGACGACATGATTGCGGGGGCGCGATCATTGAATATTCGCAAATTCGACACAGGGGACATGAATGGTGGGGGCAAGGGGCCAACGAAGGAGGCAGGGGGGCGCATGGGCCAAAATAGATGCGGGACAACAAGCCTGAACTTGAGGGGGCGATCCCGAAACATGTGGAAAAAACCGTAGAAATGTCCGGTATGCAATGCCATTGGATACGCGCGGCGCGGGGGCGTGGAATGGGCAAGACGAGGGGGGCGGCAAGGGGCGAGCAACGCATGTGGCGGCCACGGGCAGGACAGGGCGAGGTACTCACGGGGCCCAAATATAAGAAATTAGAATGCACATGGGCGGGGGATGTGCCCCAGCGAAATGAGAAATGGTAAGGTGCCGAAACGGGGGCGAATGGCAACTGCGAGAAGACGGAGAGGGCATGGCGGCGCATGAAACAGAAACGCACTGGCCCTGATCAGGGATCGCGGGGCAAATACTGGTTCGACGGGGCAAGGGGAAAGGGGGGCGATAGATAACGAATTGGCAGAGGGCGACGGGGGGCGCAGTGACAATGGGGGCCGAGGGGCAGATACGTAGATCGTTGGATTCTGAGTCTGCTGGCGTTTGCTATACATCTGCATTTAAAGAACGCACGGGAACGAACTCGCGGCACATAGAGATTGGATGGGCACAAGCAGAGGGCAACGAAATATTGCATTGAATTAATAAAAGCCAGATCGGGAGCCTGTGGGAAACAGCGATCGACGGCGTAGGGGGCGGGGCATGCAAAGGGCGGCGATAGGGCGACAGGGGTCACATGATATTGACGGGAGTGGCATAGCATAAAGGAGGCGCGCCATGCAAGGATGCGAACAGACATGGGCAAGTTGCAAAACGTGCATACACAGTTGCACAGTGATGGGAATGTAGAAGTCAAGCAGGGCCAAGGGGTGATGGGGAGGCAGATGCGGCAACCTAGAACGTGGAAGATACAGCTTGGGGCGCACGTGCATCAGATTCGGACCGACAAGGAATTGCGAGGGCATGGGGCGACTGGCCAAGAACACAATGGGGAGGGCGCGGGTGGAGAAGGGAAACCGACGGGGGAGGGAGGGCGCGGATGGGGGGGAACTGAGAGGGGCAGATGTGTCATGGAGCCTGGAGAGAGGGCGCGCACGGAATAAGGACAGGCTGGTGACAGGGGGTGCGCGGGTGAAGACGACGCTGATAAAACAATGCCGCGAGCAGCAAAGGGCGCGGGCGCGGCACGGGGGGGGGCGATGGGGGAGGGGAAAGGGGGGTGGGGGCTAGATGCCGATACGGGGAAGGGAACCTCACGCGACTTCTTGGAAAGGGCGGGTTGGTGGAGCGCCAAGGGTCGGGCGATGGCTGGAAATAAGCGAACCCGCGGGTGATCAAAGCGGACGCAGAGGCGAAGATGGCGCGGGGGGCGCGCGGCGGCGGCAGGGTTTGGCCACGCCTCGGCGGCGCGCTGGCGGAGGAGGGCCCGATGGAGACATACAGGAGTGCACGCGCTGGAAGTGGGGGGGGAAGAGCGCGGGCGGCGCGATGGAAGGGGAGGGGCGGCGGCATAAGGGAAGGGAGGGCGCGCGATGACGCGGGCTTTGATGTGGGGAGGGGCGCGTGGGTGGGGACGAAGCACGGGCGACATGCATGCGCGCGACGAGGCAAGGATGGAGCTCGGGCGTGGGAGGCGCGATTGGGGGAGATGCGGCTTTGGCAAGGTGGCGCCCGACCAGCGGCAACTTGATTCGCAGGCCGCAAGCCGAAGGTCCGCCGACGTGAACGGGCAAGGCACGCCACAACACGCGCACATATAATACGTCTCTCGGGCGCGGCAGTGTTGCGCGCCGAGAAGGGGGCATGCGCGGGCGAGGGGTGGCGCTGAGAGGGGGAAAGCAGAGCAGCAATGAAGTGATGCGGGCGGCTGCAGCATTGGAAGACACACGGCTGTAAGACAAACTGAGGGTACGTGTAGGCGACGAGGCGGCACGCGCCACGTGGTCGGCGTTGAAAAGCTGCATAACAATGTGCGAGCATGGTGAAGGGGCGCGCGGCGCTGCGATGGAGGCGCGGGGGAGGGCAGGGGCGAGTCGGACGGAGACGACAACAGTAACGTCGTTTATAGATCGTGGGGAAGGGGGGGCACAGGATACGCATTTAGGGCAAATGCTAGGGTGCAGAAAGTACTTGGTGTACCTGCGATGAGTGATACGGGAGCGACGAACCAGCGCGAACCCCCACCAATACCCCCTTGCCACCTGGATGTGAAAGCAATGGTGGGCGACCTTCTCGCGGCGCGAGACATGCGATGGCATATGCGGTGCGTTCAATGTGGCGTGGGCACCGCGGCGCGGGCAGCGTGGCGCAATCTACGCGGCGCAGGCTACGTGGCGCAATCGGCGTCGCGCAAGCGAACCCACTTGGGATGTTACGACCGATCTCATTATCGTTCTCACTGTCGACACAACTACCCGTCTCGCTGTCGATCACACTATCGATCTGAGATGGATGTCCGCAAATTGCCCCCACGCCCTACACCCCCACACCCGACTCGCATCATCGCCGCGCGGATGGGCCGAACGTCGGCGCCGATAGACGAGCTACTGCCAGACAGCCTAACCCTTAGCCCAAGAGCTCGGAGGTCGAGAGGCATCGGGGGCCGAGAGTGAATATCCTCCTCATTCACAGCATTCCCTCCCCCCCCCCCCCCCCCCTCAGCATTATCATCATGCTCCGTTTCATCCCCCCTGCCCTCCTCCTCCTCATCAACTTCGCCCCCTCATCATCGCCGCCATCGCCCCCATCATTTGCCAATCGTTCCCGACTGCCTGTTTCTGCGAGCTGCGCCCTGCAATGGCCCTGGCGAGGATTGCCGCAGACCCCCGATACCCAGGGCGGCGCGGCCTCATGAGAGGCCATCCCGATGGGCGCGACTTCGCAGCATATGCGAAGACAAGGCCCGACCTGCCTGCCCACAGAGCGGGCCTGGCTACAGGGCGGGGGAGCCAAGACACAGAGCCCCAAGACACACAGCCCCCCTGTAAGAGCAACGCCTGGGGCCAAGCGGGCGACGCCGACAGGCATAGGGTGATGGGCCCTCGTCGCCCGACGGCCTGCCGAGCCAACTATCGTGGGACCCGCTCTCCTGGGGTGCTGGCGGCGGCGGGCGGCTACCCGCCACCCCCCCGACCCCTCATCAGACTCGCTCCTCCACGTCCTCATTACCCTCCCCACACTCCACTTTCCATTCCCCACCCTCGTCCTCCTCCACCTCCTCCCCCCCCTCATCATCCTCCACCTCACCATCCCCCTCATCCTCGTAATCCTCACCATCCTCATCATACGCACCCTCATCCACCTCCACTTCGTCATCCTCATCATCCTCACCGTTCCTCTTGCGCGCCCCCCTCATCCTCATCATCTTCCACTTTCCATTTCTCATCCTTATCCGTCTCCACCTCCTCATTGTCCGCATCCTCTCCCCTGTGCACATCCTCCACCTTCCTCCTCTTCAATAGGACGGGAATCGCCCAGAACGTTATCCTCCTACCTTCTCCAGCATCCAACCGCTTACCCACGGAACTTCATACCACCAATCCTCCTACCTCCTACCTCAAACATCTTACCTCCCCGACGTTATACTCCAAGTCCTCTTACGTCCTACCCCCGACCTCCCGAGCCTCCAACCCTCGCAACTCCCCCAACCTAAATCTACCACGTACCACCACCACCTCAGCACCCCCGCCGACCCACCCACCGACCTCCTCGAAGGAGGGGGCGGGGACGGGTAGAGAATGAACGCGAGGAGGGCAAAGAAGGGTAGGAGAGAGGCAAGTGGTTCATGATATACCCGCTCTCCCCCATATCGCCTTCTACTCCTCAGTCATCTCTCCCTCTATCCACCCCCTCCTTATCCTCCTCCTCCTTCGCATCTTCATCCTCCCTGCCCCGTCCTCGTCCGACGTGGGGCCGCCGTCCTCGTCGAACTCGTGGGCCTCGCCGAACTCGGAGTCCTCGCCAGCGTCGGCCTCGTCGCGCTCGGAGCCCGCCTCGCGCTCGGAGCCCTGGTCGAGGAGCACGCCCGCGGCCGCCTCGGCGTCGAACTGCCCTCGGCCGCGAGCCCTGCCGCCAGCGGCGCCGTCGTCGCAGCCGCCCCCCCGCCCACGGCGGCCTCGCGCGCCGCCTCGCCCTCGGCCGCGAGCACCGCCACAAGCGGCGTCGTCGCCGTCGCCGCCTCGCCCGCGGCGGCCGCGGCCTCGTCCACGGCCGCGCGCGCCGCCGCCCGCGTCGCCATCGTCGCCGCCGCGCCCTCCACCACGGCCCCGTCGGCGGCCACGTGGCGGACGAGGCTTGGGCGGCCGGACGTCGAAGGTGTTCACGTCGGCGATCAGCTCCTTCACGAGAATCACGCCTGGCACGAAGATGGAGAGGGGCCGCGTGCGCCGACAGACCTCGTAGAAACTCAGCCGCCACTTCCTGTCGCCCTCGAAAGTAGCCGCCCACTTCTCGGAAGACAGCCACTCGCCAGATGCCTGCAGCGAGCGCGCATTCGGGGCACCCCCAACTTACAGCTGCAATCGGCGCCAGGTCTCACCCCACCCGCAAAGCCGGCCTCAACTGCACTACCCCCTCCCCCCCGAGATTCCCAGAAGCTCCCGCAGCCTTGGAGCAATTCGACCGCCGTCACCGTCGTCGTCGTCGTCGTCGTCGTCGTGGTCGTCGCCGTCGACAGCGTCGTCGAGGTCGTCGTCGTCGTCGTCGGATCGGGGTGAGAACGGGCGCCGATCGAGCGAGTCAGTCTGGGTTGCCCGCACGGCGCCCCAAAGAAGCCTTCAATGCCAACTCATCGCCCTGAGGGTAGGCCGTCATGGCCTCGTCGGCTTCTGGAACGTGCATCAGCTGAACCATCGGGTCGAAGGGGGACAGCGACATGCACGACACGTGCCACCATCTAATGTCGACGTCGAGGCCCCAGAATTATGCTAGCTCAGCGCTGCCGCCATCGCCGATGACGTCGCACTCGAAGCGAGCGATTATCTCGCCATCCTTCAAGGCCCTGCGCTTCCTAAGGTCGATGTTTCTCGGACAGGCTTGCTTGAGACACAGTAGCCCCGAGTTCTTGAACTGCCGCGTTATCCTGCCGCGCGGGCCGCACGTGCAAACTCCAATCTTCCAACAAACTCCATGTGCCGTATCTGGGCCCTCGTCCGATGATACCAGCTCGTCCTCCGCAGTGTCAGCCATGCCTCGATGTAAAAACCTCCAGTGGTCATCGATGCTCTTCAAGAGGTTCGACTGCTCGGGGCCGATGTCCCTGAGATAAGCCACCATGTCGACAGCGTCGTCAGCAGAAGCAGCGCTATCGCATTGAAGTGTTCGAACGCCAGCCGCGGGGCCAGGAACTGCAACAAGGCCAGGTGCTCTCCGAAATTCGCTGCTGCCAGACGCGAGGTCGTCAACCCAGCCGTCGGTGTGACTGCGCCTGAACTCCTCAAGGTCACGGGAGTCATGCTTCTCGGCCGCGCGTCTCAAGGCACTCGAGCCCAGCCTGATCCTCTTCACCATGGCGAGCGTCTCCTCAGCCGAGTAGCCGTGAAGGTGGGCATCCGAGAGGACCTTGTCAATGGCAGCGTTGGCGTTGCCCTCTGGGTTGTCCGACAATCTCACCTGCAAGCTGTTCCTGAATTTCGCCCGCTCCACGTCTGCGCGGGACGGCCCGAACGAGTTCCCCTTGCGACCTCCCCTCCGCGCCTGCGTCGCCAACTGCCCGAGGCGCACGCACTCCTCCAAGAGCTCCGACCCCACGGTGTCTTTCAATGCCCTGTACAACCTGCCTGCCTCCGCCAAGTCCTGCGACCCGTGGTGTCGAACGAACGCCCTCCACGCTCCACCGCCGCCCCCTCGCAACCGTGGTTCATGTCCGCCGTCGCCGCCGTCGTCGGCTCCGTGCCCGCCAGCATCGGCGGCTGGCGGAACGTCGAAACGATGCGCTCGAACTGTCGAGGCTACCCACCTGCTGCTGACATCGATGCAATCGGGCTGAGGGCACTGGACGTGCTGCGCGATCATGCGCCTGATATGGCTGTTGGAAACCTCCAGTCGGTCCGTGTTGGTGTAATTCATCATCGCGTGAACTAACAGTTTCATCCTTGCGTCATCGGTCGTGAGATCATTCTCCTGCAGGAACTTGCATGACCACGAATCCAACAGGCATCGAGGAGTGCTCTGAATCTCTGTCGCAAGCTCGGGTTGCGAAAGAACAAGGAACAGCCTGAATGGAGCCAACTCGTGGGGCGTAGCAATCAACTTCTGAACCAAGGCGCCCGCGGCAGACACACCAGTGAAAACGTCTGCCTTCAGCATGTTGTTCATCTCGGACTCACGCACTAAACCCCACAACCTGCTGTCGAAGAAGAGCACGCGCATGCGCATGAAAGCCTTGAGCTCGATCTGCCCGCGAGCGTGGATGAGAACGCTGTAATCCCTGAGAAGGCTGCCGTTGTCGCCGCTAGCGTAGCGCCGCGCTGCAATTGCGTCCTGCTTACGTTCCCACCTCTTGGATCCGATCCACAACTCTTCCAGTTGCATGTTCTGGACCACGCCGCAGATCATTTTCAGAACAACCACCGCCGCGCACGGGGGCGTCCCCGAGCAGCCTCGCAACCAGCCCATCGCTATCCTCCGTTTTCTGGCGACCTCTCGAGCCCATATCGCGATGGGCGCCATGCCTCGGGGGTCAACATTGTCCTCATCGTGCTGCATGCGCGCCTCGTCTTCCTCGTCGGCAATCGCCAGCAGGCAAGGGCGGGCAGGGCCGTGGTGAGCAGTGGCCTCAGCCTCCACAATCTCAACGTCGCCGTCGACCATGCCCTTTCGAACTCGGCGGCAAAACAGCCTATAGGCACTGACGAGATCATTTCCGAGGAGGAGCGGAACGGCGTACTCGCAGCAAGCCTCGTCAGTGCCCATCCACTTCTTCCGCTGGTAGAGCGTGAAATTCTTGAAAGCAACTGCCTGCGTGATACCTTCAGCGGCCCTGGTGAAGAGTACGTTCTCACCGTACGGCACTCCAGGCGGCACATATATCTGAACGCGTCTGCTATCCCAGTCTCCAGTCGCAAACATATCCAAGAGAGCTCGAAGTACGACGTGGTTGTCACTCTTGGTTGAAATGAAATACTTGAGAATCAGTGACTTCCGAAGTTGAGCGATGGGCGACGGCGGCGATGGATGATATGACCTCGCACCGCTGCCTGATGACATCCCTGAGCGAGTCCCTGAACGCATCGAGGCGGCCCTGGAAATTCAAAGAGAGCGTTAAATTTATCATCCCAGTCATGCACGGCGAAAACCTCCAAGTAGCAAGAACTCTCACGGTCTGGAGGATGTGCTGCTCGCACGGGAAGAGCAGCGCACGAAACTGAGAGAACCGCCTCACCATTATCCGAGCAATGCGCCTCTCAACCACCAAGTTAGACGGATGCCTGTCAACGCTCACGACCCTCGAGAAAGCCTTGAACCTCACCTCTGGCAACGACATGGGCGACGTCTCTTTCAGCGCCTGCATTATTGATCCAGGAGTGTTTCGAGCGAGCGCCTGAATGTGGCAAGCCGTAGTGCCCGTGACTATCACGTACTGCTTTGTGCCGCAAGGCTTCACGCGGGCGACGAGCATGGCAAACTGCTGCTGGGTCTGGAAAAGCTTCGTCGGCAGTGCACCTCGATTAAGCGGGAGCGCGCTCAGTATGGTGTCTGGCAAGGCCAGGGCGGGATCGACAAGTTTCCTGACGCGCTCGTTGGCACCTCTGATCTTCAGCGGGGTCTCGTCGTAGCCGACGGAGTCCACGAACTGCAATGCCTCAACGCCGCGGCACGTCGCCGCGACGCGGGCGAGAATGCGGCGCCTGCCGCGATCGCACAGCCACGTCGAAGCCGCCAACAAAGGGCCCACCTGGTGAGCGACGTTGCGGCCCACGCCCGTCATGGCACTCCGCGCCGCCTGGGACGCGAACACCAAGTCCACGCCGTCCTTGGTGAAAAGAAACGCGCCGACCGCGACCGCTGCCTCGTCCACCGTCTCGTCTAGCACGCCTCGTGCCCGACACAACTGAATGCACTCGACGACCCTGTCAATCAAAGGCGGCGCCAAGACGAACGAGCCAGCACACAACGTATCATTCAGCACCTGCTTGGACACCTGCAGCTGGGCCCGAAAACGGGCAGACTCTTCTCTCTCATCACGTTTTTTTGTTCTAGCTACTTCGAATGCCTGACGGGCGGCCACCAAGTCGCCGCGCCCTCGGGCAGGGGCGCCGCCTCCCTCCGCCATGTGCTCAGCCCAGCTCTGCGAGACCAGCTCTGCGCGGCAGCGCGCTGGTCGTCATCGCGAGGCGGGCGCGCCAGCCATCGCGGCTGGAGCTCTGGCGTGGAGGTCGGCGAGGGCTGGCCTCCTCAAGGCGAGCCCTCAAGATGAAGGCGAAAACGCCCGAGCCAAAACGGCTACCCAAGCACTCGAACGACAACTGTCGCACATCTTCGACGGGGTAGAGCTCAGAGGCGATTATGTGCGTTCTGGTTCGCGCATGTTTTTGCCGCTCGCTCGGGACAACCAGGCAACTATGAGCACTAGGTGCACCCCTCACGCAGATCGCGGCGTCAATCCAAAAACGCAACGGTATTTCACCGTTTGCCCCAGCAACGTCGCCAAGCGCATTGGTTCCAAACGAATGCGTTATGATGCGATATCGTCGCCGCCGTCGCGGGCGTCGTAGGTCGTCGCCCTCGTTTTCGTCGTCGTCGTCGCCGCCGCCGCTCGTCACCATCGTCGTCGCTCCTCGCTCGTTGTCGCTCGTCGGTGTCGTCGTCGTCGCTCGTCGTCCTCGTCGATAGTCGCCGTCAGAGTCGGGCGAGGAGGAAGTGGCAAACAGCAGAAAGACAAGAGGAAAAGGGGCAGCAGCGAGCAGGGAGGCGTCACGCAGATCCCGACGTCATGGTCCGCATGTCTATCCTGATATCCCGTTTCTACAGACGTCGATGTTTGCATGAGCCTTGGCACGCATGTGCATGTATCAATATTGCAAGGTTTGTCCCCGTCCTCCTCCTCCTTACCCTACTTCTCCTCCTCCTCCCTTCTCGCCCCTCCCTCCTCCTCCCTCCTCCTGTTTCCGCTCTCCCTCTTCCTTCCCTGATCCGCTCGGTCATCTTCGCGCCCCTTCGCGCTATCGCGTTTGCTTTCGCCCCACTGGCGTGACGCACCGAGACGGCGATGTGCAACATGCGTGCGTAGCTTTTTTTTGGGGGGGCGAGTTGTTTTGGAGTATTCTCTGGCCAAGTATAAGAAATCCTGGAAGAGTACTTCTTGAGTATTATGGGCGTTTTGTGTGTTTACAATGTGTAGCGATGGCGGGCCATATAACCCTAGGATGGGCCCAAAAAGCGAAAGGCCTGTATGGCTGACTCTTGGTTCTTTCGTGCCTCTGCACCGTCACGAAGGAAATAGAAATCGACCTGACGACCCGTCGCGGCGCACTAC